AAAATAGACAAAGTGAATGGACTCCTGATAATGAGCCATCATTGAGCTCTAACTTTTACGATTTCTCCGATATACCCGCCGCAAATGTCCCATCACAAAATGTACAAACTCTCCGTCTCTCCCCGAAACCGCGAGCACCCCAATCAAACCTTCACGACAAAGGCAATATCGAAAATGGGACACTGGTCACTAGCAGTTTGCCACGATTGGCTTCAAATGATTTGCCGCAATTTTCTGCACGTGAAATCTATAACCCAACACATTTGACTATCTCTAGCTCATATGAACAAATGATGGGAACAGTTCAGTATAATAGTTATCTTGGAAATGATTCTCTGATTACTCAAGACCAACCTCTACAGGTCAATCATACAAATTCAGCCTTTTCAGATCACATTACCGTGTTCGAGAATGTCTTGAGGCAAAGATTGAGCAAATCAACAGCACTGATTCGAAGTAATGAAAGGTGCGCTCCTCTCCCATTTGAACATTATTCTTTGGAAGATCTCGATTTGATACGACCTGAGCTTATTATTACCAGCATTTTGAATTCAGCATATATCATGCTATCGGCATTCATTTGTGCATCATGGCCTATTATGACAACCTGGCATTGTGCTACTAAAGCTCATGTACCTATTACTAAGGTCATCACATATCATGTCAATCCAACAGCTGCTACATACGCTGACCTTGTCACCAACGGAGCATGGCTCCCGACGAAAATACAAATGTCCATTCCCCATCCAGCAATAATAGATTGGATACCATTCCCATCGTTACGAGACAAACTTATCCTTTGCCACTCAGCTAATCCATGTCTGGATCAAATTATTTGTGAAATTGGAAATAGTTATGTAGTGGAAGCCGACGTGTCTAAGCTGGTGATGGGAACTAGTGCTGCAACGGGTAACATCGGCGTCTGGGATTTGGTTCGATCAATGTCGGGAGGAACGAAAGAATCAGCGTTCCCCAGCGAAGATAATGTTTCATGGGACGAGATTTGTAGAGCTAGCTTCGAACTCAACAAGCAAATGCGAGAGGGAAATGTCTTGCAGGGTCTCACTATGGAACCGCTTGCAACATTGCCAGCACCGAATGTCGCGGCTCTGTTTAACTCCAAGCAACTGGCACTCTCAACTTTTGTAGCTCTGGGAATGAATCAAGGCGTGGCACAGTACAAATTAGATTCGGCGTTTTTTAAACGGCATCCAGAACTTTATGATGGTAGTGCCGCGATAGTAGCAAATGGTACACGATTAAGACCATCTGATCACTTTCCAATGCCGGGGCCGAGATTGCTGAATGAGGGGGTTTTGAATTGCTATAAGAACTTGGCTGCGTGGGCATTGGATGCGGGAATCTGAGCTGGCGTGGGGATTAGGCGAAACAAGTAAAGGAGATAAGTTTCGTGGTGGTACATTCATCATAAAATAATTCATATAGGTTTTGGAATGAGCATTTTCGGATGATTGGGGACTCGATGATTTAAATTTGTTGGAACATTTACAGGGTTTAGGTAGGATATACCAGGCGAAAGGGGGGTGATTATTTATTTTTATTTTTTATTTTTCTCTAAAATGAGCTGGAGATTCCAAAGATGGGATTCGTGATATTGTATGTTCTTTTGAGTTGGATGAATAGATTTTTTGATTAAGTGTTTGGTGTGGTGCCATGTGCTTTTTTGCGTTTTGGTAGTGATATATTGGTGATTTGAGTTATGAGCAATCTTTCTTAGAATGCTGGAATGTATTTACGGGGGGGGAGGGGTGCTGTTGTTGGGTGGGGGTGGGCTCTTGATGATGAGATTGGTGCGGTAACCTTATGTGGAGAAGAGTATTTTAAAACGATTTCGTGTTGTTTGTAGGTAGGTAGGTAGGTAGGTAGGTGGGTGGGTAGGTAGGTAGGTTGGGTGAAGTTATTCTTTGTTGTATTTTTTTTTGTTTGTTTGTTTTGTTTTATTGTGGTGTGGTGTGGTGTGGTGTGGTGTGTTTTATTATGATATGTATGATGTGGTATTTGATTTGAGGTTTTGGGACTGGGGGGAGGGGGAGGGAATAGGGGATAGGGGATATTGATGATAGGGCTAGGGGGATTTGGGGATTTGGGGGAACGAGGGATGGGGGATTTGGGGATTTGGGGGAATGAGGGAAGGTTGATGGTAGGGCTAGGGCTAGAGGGTGGGGAAGTGGATGTGAGGATGTGAGAAAGTGTATGTAAGGAAAATGGAATGGAGTATTGGTGGTGTAGGGGTTATATTGTGGTTATGTTGTGTTATGTTGTGTTATGTTGTGTTATGTTGTGTTATGTTGAGTTGTGATTGAGATGGGAGATGGGAGATGGAAGATGGGAGATGGATTCTGTGGGGTTTTGGTTGGGAGATGGGAGATGGGAGATGAAGTAATTGGGGGTGTATTTAAGGATTTTGGAGAATAGAATGGAATGGAATGGGAGGGGGGAATAGGGGGGGTGGAGTTGTTGTGTTTTGTTATATTCGTTATATTAGTTGTATTCTTATGGTGTTTTTAAGGTGCGGCTGTGGGTTGAGTTGGATTAAAGGGAGAGGGCGAATGAGTATTTATAAGATGGGTTCTTCTGGTTTTCTGAAGAGAGTTTTCAGGGGGACGGGTGTTAATATATATTGGCAAAAAGTCTGAGGTAGATTGAGGGCTTGTCTTGTAGTTTAAAAGAATGGAAAAGGAGAGGTGATTGGGCTGGGATTGTATGATGAATGGATGAGGGAGGTGTGTTTGTTTTTGTTTTTGTTTCTGCTTGGTGTGTTGAGAGATATGAGAGAGTGGTATGAGGATTATTCGAGATGGGTGTTAAAGGGGGGAGGGGGGTAGGGGGTTTCCTTTCACTTCTGGGATGTGGATAGATGAATGTTATTTCGAATTTAAGTTGAAGTGATGAGAGCGAAGTCTTTTTGGTTGGTGAGTCGAGGGATAGTGTTAGGATGATTTGGGATTGAAATTTAGATGTATTCTTTTTTTCTTCTTTCACTCCTGAGGTATGAATAGATTAATGTTATTCCGAGGTTTATAAGTTGGAAGAACTTATTGTTTTTCTAATCAGTTTGTTCATTTATTGTATATGCGAATGGAAGGGGGAATTATTTTCTGATCGAAGTACATCTCTTGTTTTCTTATTATCGTTTTGTATAAGGTTATATAACGGTTCATACGATATAATACAATTCCGTATTGCGCCCGCTCACTCCCTGATAATCCAAATTATTAGGAAGAGGAAGAGGAAGATATAGAATTGGAATTAAGCTCTCTCCTCGCAAGTCGAAGATATATTGACTGATATATTTACATCATTCTTTCCTTAATGAAGTTTCTTGAAATTCGATATAAGTTGATGAGGTTATACAATTCAGGAAGGAAGAGACTATAAATGTTTCCTAGAAGCCTGATATATTCTGAATTACATTGGAAGATTTAAGTAAGATTCCTATTATGATCTTGAAATGTAGGGGAGCTATATAGTACTCATTTGTACTAGTGGGGCTCTGATTCTATACTTACTGAAGTATTCAATATCAAAATTATTATTATTTAAATCAATAACTAATAAATTATATAAGATCTTTACTTGTATAAAATTAAGCAATTCGATATTCTTGTTCATATTCATATTTACATCCGAGTTTATTTACATTTATTTTTATCTCATCTCATCTTATTATATCTTGTTTTATATTATAAGATTATTTTATTTTAAAAAATTCGAATTTATATCCTCTACTCTCCTCTACTCTCCTCTACTCTCCTCTACTCTCCTCTACAGAATACTTAAATATAATATCTTACTCCACATTTATACATTTCCATCGCTTCTCACATAAAACACACTTATATATTCATATATAGCTATACAATCAAATACATCATTTCTAAAGCCCTAATAACACATTCTCTCTATTCTTTCTCTCTATTCTTTCCCTCTATTCTTTCCCTCTATTCTTTCCCTCTATTCTTTCTCTCTACTCTTTCTCTCTATTCTTTCTCTCTATTCTTTCTCTCTATTCTTTCTCTCTATTCTTTCCCTTTCTCTCTCTATATCTATCAAACCAAAATCAAAATCAAGATCGATATCTAAATCTTAATCTTCCCTTTTTCAAATTATAAATAAGCTCAATCCGATCTAACTCAATCTAATCCAATCCAACCTAACAAAACACAATCCTAATACTAATATACCAATATACCTGGTATACTCATACAAAGTAAAGTAAAGCAAAGCAAAATACTCAAACCCTATACTCTCTCACAAAAAAGCAAATAATAAATCAAATCATACTTCTTATATCTATTTATAATACATACATATACATACATATACATACATATACATACATATACATACATATACATACATATACATACATATACATACATATACATACATATACATACATATACATACATATACATACATATACATACATATACATACATATACATACATATACATACATATACATATAATATATCATATAAAATCTCAAATCTCAAATCTCAAATCTCGAATCAAACTCCAAACCCCCTAAATAAAACTACACTCAACCAAACCAAATCCCATCTAACCAGACCAAACCAATCAGTACTTTTCCCCATCACGCGATTTCCTAATATAGCAATTTTCTATGTAGGAGTGATAATAATAGTGATATTGATGTTAATATTAATTCTGCTCTGTACCTAGTAGGAGGGGGTTGGAGATGAATGAATGGAGTTGGATGGATGGATAGAAAGGTAGATAGAAAGGCAAATAGGTAGATAGATTAGATAGGTAAATTAAACATCCAACATACCCATCCATCCGTACCTGATTCTAAACACCTCACCTCACCCCCCCTCCCCTCATCCCATACCCCTCCTCCCTTCCTCCCTTCCTCCCCTCCTCCCCTCCTCCCCTCCTCCCCTCCTCCCCTCCTCCCCTCCTCCCCTCCTCCCCTCCTCCCCTCCTCCCCTCCTCCCCTCCTCCCTCCCCCACTAAGGCAACCCCATAAAAACCTTCACCAACTTCCCATAATCCGGCGTCCCCAACCCCGTCACCGGATCCCACCCCTCCACCGCCTCAAACCCATCCGTGCCACACCCCGGATTCTTGCCACTCGTAATATCATTCATCGCCGCCCGATTGGCATACAACACCGGATTGACAAACCCCACCGTGCTCTTCCCCCCGGCAATCCTCTCCTCATTCACCAGATTCAGCAGCGCCGCAAACGCCGGACAACTCGCGCTCGTGCCAAACGCGAGCGAAAACTGTCCATTCACCGCCGTCACATAGTTCACCCCGTTGGCACTCACATCCGGATACCCGCGCACCATTCGCGAATTATTGTATCGCTCCGCCCCATACCCCGGCGCCGACTGCGCATAGTAAGCCGCCATGACCTCTTTCTGATACTCCGGCAGCGGGAAAACATTCGAGAACCCCCCACCGCTGAAAATGACCTTGGACGCCGCGCTCTCGGGACTATGCACCGTGCTGCCGTTGAGAATCTGCGTCGCGCCCACACTCGTCACATACGGACACGTGCCGGGAAAACTGGGGTTGAACAGCCCGGACGTCCCGTTATTATACGCGCCTGTCGTCGAATCAATGCACTGGCCCCCATTTCCCGCGACGCCGAAATCGCCCGAGGAGTACAGCACCGAGACGCCCTGGAGCCCGAGTTTCATGTACTCGTTGCACTGACGCATTTCGTATTTCGCGCCGAGGTCCGCTTCGTTGGCGGAATACGACGTCGAAATCACTTTGGTGCTTTGATAGCGGCCGCATTGGAGTTCGCCGGGGAAACCCCCGGGTTTGGTATCCGGGTATTGGCCATCGACGTTGGGATCTTTGGAGTCGCCGCCTTCGGCTGTGCAGTAGGAGGCATCGATCGCTTCGAGGAAATTGTTAAAACTTCCTCCCTCGACTAGATCGCCGACTTGGAAGACGGTCACTTGTTGCGGATTTATGAGCGCCATGGCAAATTCGAGATCGAGTGCACTTTCACCGTTGAAGGCGAAAGATTGGTTGGTTTGCTGCACGACGGCTCCATCGATCAAATCGACAATCGGTACTTTATTCGCTTGATTGGGTGAGAATTGGTCAAACCACATATTTAGATCTGTTTGGAGGAATGCCTGCGGTGTATATTCGACTACACCCAGCGTATTATTCGTCGCGGATTTTGAGCCCGGGGGGAAATTGTAAAGGGCCTGGAGACAGGCGGTTGTGATCATAGTATCGCAATTCGCGAGCGTCATGAGAGCATTCTTGACATCGGCTCCTTGTTTAGGATTCGACGCATCTTCGGGACTTCCCATTTTCCCAACAGGTTTTGTATCCCCAACACCCATTCCGATTCCAGCACCCATCCCATCCCTCTTCCTCCTCCTCACCTCCTCCGCCCTCCTATTCAACGCTTTCAACGGCTCCGGCAAATTTCTCTCCTGCCTCACTTGCTTCCTTCCCCCTCCACCCCCAACCCTCCCATCAAACGCCACCCCCGGCGTCACAAAATCCACATGCGCGCTCACCCCACTCGGTACACTATACTCCCCACACGCGACATGCCTCCCCCCCTCCTCATGTTCCCAAACAAAATACCTCGTCCTCAACAACCCCTCCGCCTCCTCCGTCGTCGCATTAAAGCTAATCCACGATCCCCCCTTACTAACCTTCACCCTCTCCGGTGCAATCCCCGCCTCATGTAGCCAAGCTCGCACCGCATCCACTGTTTCCTGCGACGGAGCAAACATATCTGCGATTTTGGATGCGCTCCAATGTTGACCGTAGAGCGGCGATTCGGGATGCGAGACTTCATTTAGGAATTCCTCGGCGCGGTGGAGGTTTTGTTGCGTGAGACCTATGCGGACGGGGAGAACGGCTTGAGGATGGAGACGTGCGGATCTTTTCCATTTGGGAGGCGGGGAGGATCTCTTTTCATGCACAACATGCAGTTTTTCTTTCCTTCTTTTGACTTTCTCTTTCCCCTCCTTCCTTTTCGCTGTCTCTACCTCTGTCTCTCTCCTCCCACCATCCACCCCATCCACAGCTCTCCCTCCAACCCCACCAACACTCCTCCCACTCGATCCATAAAAAGTCATCCCCTCCCCCTTCCCATTCCCCTTTCCACCCTCACTCCCAACCAACATCATCGTTCCCTCCGACGAAACCGGCGATGCACAAATCGCTACCACCAGGGTAGCGAACACACACATCCCAATCCCAAAATGAAACCTCATTATTTCCCTTGGATGCTAAACCCAGAGCATCTGCCTACCCAAAAAAAAAAAAAAAAAAAAAAAAAAAAAAATCGAAAAAGACAAAAGTAAGTTTATTCACAAGTATCACCACAGCACATTCATTGATTCAGAAAAATATTGTTACGCTAGTGTTTGCATTGGCTAAAAATTCCGGGTACTGAAACTATGGATGAATTCGATAATCATCGAAAGTGCATTGTTCTTATTATAGATACAAACCAAATGATTAAACTCTTCCGCACTGTATGCCATACCCACATCATATAAGGCTTCCACGGATATCAGTGACCCTTTTGAAGATGCAATATGGATTCGAAGTTTTGAACAGAAAGCTCAAGACCAATAGAAAGACAAGCAAAAGCTTAGACTTTCGAGATGGACGAACATTTGGTAAAAGTCCATACAGAAACGGTTTCCAACCTTCGCGTGGTAACCATGTCTTACACGTGCAATGCACCAAATCCTCTAAGATCCAAGAGATCCAAGGTCTTGGGTGAGGCTGATGAGGATATCTTCATGGTCAAGATCAAACCATTGACTTGCACGGATCTAATAATGATCCCAGGAAGAGCTTGCGAAATGATCGTTACCAGAGATGGAATGAATTGATGAGATAGTGGATTCTCTTCTTGTATCAATAATTCATTGTACCAATAAGCTGACGTGGTGAGTTCGAGATCAGTGGATACTAAAAGCTTGTAACAACAACACGGACTTCAAACCACTAAAAGTATTGAATTTTGAAACAATCAAGATTCAAAGTTCAAACACCACCAGTTTTTAATTCGGAATACTTCTCAAAGGTTTTCTTCTGAAGAGCACGTTGCTCATTAATAACCTTCCATAATTCCGCGTTTTCTTTTCGCAACTTTTCTTCCTCGCTGGAGGACGGAGATGAAGACGAAGATGTAGCTGTAATTTGAGGTTGAGCAAAATCAAGTAATGCTTTCTCTAGCATACCCTTAGGAAATCCTTGATACTCCATGGCTTGATCAAACGTCGTTGACTTTTTGGTACCATTCAGTTGAGCTGTGAATGCATAATTACCCTCGGCCAATTTAGGCTTAACTACGTTTATTGATTTTGTCTTTGGTGTCTTTGGAAAAGGAGATTGCATAACAAGGTTTGTCACGGGAGCATTCGAATCCGAAAGTTCTACCAAGAAAGCACGTCTTCCAGTATCCCAGTGGGCAATCTTTCCAGAAGAATGTCCCGAAAACAAACTTGTTCCATCATAACTCAGCCCTAAACAATGTACAGCACCAAGATTCTCTGATGGCGGGGACCAAACCGGCGAGTTGACTTGGACTGGGGTATTTTGTAGTCGGGTATCATATAATGGATTGATTGCTGAATTTGGTTGAATGAGTTCAATCATTTGTAATGAACCATCTTCAAAACCCGTATAAACAGCTCGATCGCATGGGTCCAGTGCCATGCATAATGGAGTTGATGGGAGTAGGAATGTTCTTAGAAGATCACCCGTGTGGTAATTCCAAACAATTATTGAATTGTCCTTACTCGCAGATATGCATATATTTGATGTACTGGAACTATGACCCATGACGATGGAAGTTATGGCGGCTCGATGGTTTGACAAGGTTCGAATGGGCTCATGCGGTTCATTCGTATTTGTATGTAATGATAAAAGTTGTGGAATTGACCAAACGTGGAGATTTGAATCTTCGGAACCCGTAATGATGTGTGTTGAAGTTGAGGCCATACATGAAACGGGTTGTAGATGTGCAGCTGATGTTGAGACTTGTCTACCTGTGCAGACCTAGACCCAGAAAGAATTAACACAAATGACTCCATGCACTCGCCATCGTGTCGCCATCAATGTAGCCATGTGGTAGCAATACCAAACGGCACAACACGACACGACGTAAGCTGCAGATAATAGAACGGGCGAAATAACTCACCTCCCATAGTATGACCCGCCCCTCGGCTGTACCCAGTACTAAAAGATCATCGCCGACCAAAGTCAAAGTGTGTAACCTTTCTGGAAAAGAAATTAAAGCCTCTTGATTCCCGCGTTCCCTTGAGTAAATATGAACAACCGCCTTATCAGCTTGTGCCGCGAAAATGTGAGTTGAATTTGCCGCGAGGGCATTAACTGCGGTCGAACTTTTCTTGAAATTTGATTCGATTTTCGGGGATGGATGTAATGTGTGAATGTAAATCCCGATATCCTTTGCGATGGCAGTATTCGCAGTTCTTGGCTGAGCTCGAATGGATGAGATGAATTGTTCGGACAACATGATTGCCGCTGGGTGTATGCTTCTCCTCTGATCGATTGATTGACAAGATATTTGATTACTCGTGATTGAGATTGAGTGATTGAGATTGAGTGCTGGAGATTATGAAATGGATATTTTATTTTGTGTTTCGATTCTTTCTTATCGGAGACACCGGTAATTGTGGGTATGAAGCTCTTGCCCTCGTAGATTCGTCGTGTTTTAAGATGAATGAGCTGGGGAGATTCAAATGTAGAAATGTATTAACCTGTCGGATTGTTTTCAACGCCACCTTTTTGGGTGAAGTGCAGGAAGCAGTAGTCGATAGGTGGTATTCGGTATTTAGGATTCAGTGCGAGTAGTCAGTGACCAGTTGCCAATCGCCAATTGCCAGTTGCCAGCCAACCAGTATAGTTCAACGGAACGGGCGCCAAAATGTGTAAATTTTTGTTTTTCCTTTTCCTTTTCCTGTTGTTCCTGGCGGGCTTGCAATTTGTTGGATTGTAATTGATTGACAAATCAACAAGGGAAGAGATGGGACGGATTGAACCGTCTTTGATCTGTGGTGGTGTCGTAGATGTTTTCGAATTTGCTGGAGAAAGGCATGAGAATGAAAATTTGCATAATGAAGATTAAATTTGATGTTTCTGGGGTAAATGTGTATTGAACCAATCAGAGGCGAGAGAAGCACGAGAAGCATGAGAAGGCTGCAGGAGGCTGCAGGAGGCTGCAGAAAGCTACTAAAGGGTAAAAGAGGCTGCAGAACCTGATGAATCCTAAAATAGAATCGGGGACGAGATATCCGTTCAAGGGCAAGGGGAGAGGGAGAGGGAGGGGGAGTGGGAAGGGGGAAGGGGGAAGGGGGAAGGTTTCCTCATTTTTTTTTGTCGGGATTTAATCTTAATGCCAATGACAATGCCAATGTCGATACCTGATTATCAATACCAATATCAATATCTACTATATCGACGTCAGTTCCGATCCCGAATTCCCAGTCGATTGGTTAACATGGGGACGAAGGAAGATCATGAATCAATCTGCGTATGGGATGGGGGTCATGTATTGGGCTCGGTATTGGTCATGCATGGTATTGGTGTGTGGATGAAGTGATGCCCATCGAGGCTGACAGTGGAGGAAGGAGGGAAAAGGAAGTAGATCTGAGGCAGCAGAACCAAACCCATGGGATCAATAGGATGAAGGATTGAATGGATCGACTCGCCATTTTCTTCGCGTATCGTGACTTTATCTGGTAGAATGACAATCTTAATGAACTCCATTGACTCCAGTGACTCCAGTGACCTGCCCCCGAAACTACTCCATTGGATGCGTGTCCCAGTTCTCGCCCTGGTCGCCGCCCTGGTCGCCCTGGATATTCCAATGCAACCGTGGAGACGCCAGCGTGCTCAGCCAGACTTCGAAGTTCAACCAGATTCTGGGAAAACGATCAACATCGTCCATGCTCGGTGAATGGCAAATGCGGATATCATCATTTGAGTCAAAAGTAACGCAACGAATACGGAAGAAAGGCATTTCCGAATAATTGGATGAGGCATGAGCACCTCTTCACATCCTGGATGTCTCACTTCTTAGTCTGGATCTGTCAAACGATCTGTCAATTATTACTCCCAGAGAAACTTATGGATCTCATGGGTATCATGGACCTTGTTACTCAACTCGATTAGACTACTCTCCTACTGGTCTAGCAAGTGATGAGTCGATGATGGCACGATGGGTCAGGTCGTCGCCGTCGACTAATCAAGCACGCAGACAGGCAAACAAGCAACAAGCAAACAAGCCAACCCGTATGATGTAAAGCGATTCAAAAAGCTGAGATCAAAATATCATCTGTACTTTGATAACACTAAACACCAAACATGGAGGAACTCATCAGTATCCAGGTACCGAATCGAGACATTTCTCGTTTCTTGATCTCGGAAATGCCCTTTCCTTTTTTCTGTTCCCCCCTTTCTCCAATCATTCGCGCCAATTATCGCCCTCCTGGGACATTTCTCGATTTTAGGTACCAAAAGCTTAGCTGTCTGGTTGTCTGGTTGTTTGGCTGGTTGGCTGGTTGGCTGGTTGGCCCATTCTTTTCAACATGGTAGAATCTATCTTTACATCCCGAGGTCTCATTGGTGATTTATTCGAGGTGGAGGAGAGTTGAGGGTTATCCTCTTAATATCATTCATTCTATTGGCATTTCTTCTTTCAGAATAAGAATAAAATGACATTAAGATCCTCTCGTTAATTCCATTTATACATTCATTAATTTATTCATTCCCTTGTCACGATGCGTTCATTACCGACCAAAGCATACTAGGTACTTTCTTCTTTCTCCAGATACTTGTCGCTTTCGTACATCGGACAACTTTATAACCCAATATAGCAAAGGACAGTAAAGTAAGTTGACGGTTGGACCCAGTCACCCAGCTCCACCGCAGCCAGAGGGCGCAGCTATCGTGAATAGGGCAACAGAAGCGAATTGAGTTTGAATACCTTGTTCCCCCCGACCAAAAGTTAACCTTACAGCTTGGGTATAAAATTGAGGACTAATTGAGAAGACCCAGTCCATCTAGTCCTTTAATTTTCGCGTCATGGACCAATAAAATCATCATCGGGGATCCATTACACTTTCGGCTTCGGGCTTTACCTTTTTCCACAGGGCTATTGCAGTATAGCAGGGCTTGAGGATTAAATGAGCTATAAAAGTCAAACGAACGGAGCTTTTGTTGAACAATGTAA